TGACAGGCGCTGGGCGGAAAACAGCTCTCCTCCAGTGACTGTGACCGTGATGTGGATAGACACACAGACACAACGACGGGCAGCGGGCTGCCTTGGCGACGGCAGCGCGACTTCATTTACGCCGGTTTCACACTCAGCGAACGCGTCCCCTTCGCGGCTAGGATGCTAATGATGGCTTCTTTTCGGGTGGAACAACTCCTTTTCAAGAAGGACGAGCACGAGACTGAATCGGCCGCCTCATTATCACCCGGTGAACCGTTATCGCCTACGTTCGACGGCGGAGCTAACCTCGACAGCAATACCAACTTCACATCTTCCCATCTGCTGCCCCAAGTATGCCTGACTGGCACCTTGGCTGGAAAAACGAGTAAGTCGTCTGGGTGTTTTTGCTATGGCTCCAGAACTTTGAAGTTTTTTGTCGTTTTGAGACAATCTTTTGATGTTATTCTGCTTATTAAACGGGCCTAAAAACTGTGATGACCGGAAATAGAAACGTCGTCGCCTATCTGAGGATTAAATGTACGCAAACGAATTATTGTCAACGTTTTCCTCCAACCTTTTATATCCGATGGATCGGTAAGGAATAGCTTTAACAGTGGTGGTACATTATACCGGACAGTGTGATGACCCGTTTTTTTGCCTGTACCATGTGTGCTTTTTCCATTTATACAATCTTGTACTTTTGATCTGTACTTTAAAATCAAGGGGTTTTAAAACTAAGAATGCGTTTTGCGAGGTAAGATGTGGCTATTCAGCCCTACCTGATGGACACAATACTTTTGGGTTAGTGTGTAGGGCTGCGGTTAAGGGTTAGGCTTAAAGGGTTGGGGCTAGGGTTGTTTTTAGGGGGTAAGGTTAGATGTTGGGGTTAGGTGCTAGGGCAGCTATTTCTCAGCCATTCAAAGTACAACCGCGCATCCCCAATAGGTTTCCTTTTTCATACGATCGCTTGACCTCGTCGCCTGTGCGTTCCCCGGCTCCACCTGCAAGAACCCCCTAGTACAGCCGGTCCCGTGTTACAGCTGACTGGAGTTTGTTTACTTCAGGCGGGGTTACATAACCACATCTGGTCCTATGCTCTTTGAACAGAGCCCTCAGAAGATGGGCTGTTTCACCCTGTTGCGGCAAAAGAGCAAGTATGGTATCTTTGGATTACGCAGTTGCTGGTGGTTTTCATCTGTGAAAGTCCGCCTAGGTCTTGGTACGCAGAGTAGGAGAGTCTCGGTTTGCCGGTTTATGCGTCCCGGTCAGTTCCCTAGACTCTAGCCAGCTGACCTATCTTGCAGCTGGCTTATTCTTTTGATGTCCCAGCAATTATCCCTGGCTCCTTCAAACTAGAGTCGTAATGCGTGGGGTTGTGTGCCAGTCCGTGCTGGTTAACCGTTCTCCCCCTCACTGTTAACTTCTGTTAAAATAAGGAATATTCCAGTTTTGTCAATCTTTCCTGCGTCATTGCAAAAGCAGTTAGAGACGGAAGACTGCTAGAAAAGACCGTATTGAGCCCTCAGCGCTTAATTAACAGGTAGTACAGTCAGTTGGCGACAACCGTGCCTAGACCTACGGAAATGTGCGAGTCACCTCGCACTTATATCACTGTCATGGTGCAGCGAAACGCCAGCCTTCTATTAACTGGCGGGTAACTCGGACTCAGTGGACGTGGGCATGCAAAATCCGTCAGCATATGACGGAAAGAGTAGTGTAAAAGAAATAACCAGCACAAGTATTGTGACTTTACTGCTATCGCCGATCGGAAACATACATTAGTCTTTCCCTGTCTTGGAAACTTTGTATGTCCGCTCTGGCGATAGGGGCTATGGGCTCTCGGCAATTTCTTACTGTCTAACTCCACCTAGGCTTCTGAAGCCCGGACCTCAGTGGGATTATTTCCCCCCCCCTCAAGTTGCTGGCTGTTGATACAATCCAAAATCGAAACTTGTTTTTGCCTGCACAACGCTTGCTCTTCCTCGACAAAGGCTTAACACGCGATCAATGTGAAACCCTTCCCAACAGTGTAATAATTGTTTCCTTTTGCTGCACACCACAAATCCCGCTGTCCAGTATATCCGCTGAGAGGATCGAACTCCATTCACTTCAACCGTGTCAGACGATGGAAGCTCCAAAGGTGTTAGAGGTCCTTGCGTGCAGCAAAAACAACCTCACGAAGAGAAACTATCTCACAGCAGTGCTGTACGCCTATCTACCTAGATTCCCAGACGGAAAGGGGTGGCTCCTTTTTACCATGGAGTACAGGTGTTGCGGTCTGCGGTTGTGGTCGCACGACAGCCTACTATCAACAATGTGGAACAGTTAGTGGCAAGGCCAGGGACACTGAAATGCCAGTTTAGGCCTATTTTTCATCATCACCAGCATTATCTCAACTCCCGGTTGCGCGTGCGACGTTCGAACCTGAGTCAGTTGATTATCGACCACTGCTCTCACCTCTGGGCTGCAGGTTCGCATCCTGTCAGTTAACGACAATAATATGTCGAAGGGGACCATTCCAACATTTCAGTCCATGCCAGTACGGCTTATCGGTTAAGACAGACTAGGAACGGTGAAGGAACGTTGCCTTCTTTGCTGTAGCAGCCGTTACTTCTCCTGAAAGATGCGATCCTGCTCACGTAACGAACGACGACTAATCCCAGGGGCGCGGACGAGTTGGCAGCTAGTTATATCAGAAGAAGGTAGATTTGTTGGTGAAGATATAATACATGTTCTGCCTGTTCTGTCTGCTCACGGATGACACCTTAAATGCCCTGCTTCACCCCAGCCAGAGACAGCGATGGTGATACAGCAAAAGGTTGCCCTTGAGGGGTTCACCCCAGCACTCTGTCTACCTGAGTAGGAGTTCTTCTGAGATTTAATCCCTGCATATCTCAGTTCAAGTTAATCGCGCAGGCGTTGTGACCAGCCAGTAATCGACCGAGGTGTTTCGAGGCCCTGTCGGGGAGAATACTGGACCTGGCGAACCTTGCTGTTCGAGAATAGAACACTGACTGAGCAGCCATTGCTGAGAACCTAGTCTGCAATTGCAGGTCATGGACAGCACTGGTTCGTCGTGCTGGGGACTCCATAGCTGGCTAAACCAGTATTGATGGCGATCGGCATATGCACAGGCGAAAGAAATCACTGGGAAAAGAACGACCATAGGATTGCATCGGTTGACTGTACAGATGTTGATGATGGAGACACGATCGCCGGGACAAGAGCTTTATTAGCCAGACGTTTCGGCTTCCTGCTCGAACCTATCATCAGAGAAAAAAGCAGATAAGGGCGGTTCATGCATATGCGGCTGCAGTATTTATAGGGTGCAGTAGCCATGCTACCGCATACCTATGAATATTCACGGCTCCCCCTCCTCCCCTTCCCCCCTTCATCAGGGATCGTTGCACGTGGCGTGATGGCCGACATTCGCGTCGTTAATGGCTGCAATTTCATCACGTGCGTTGGATGTTGGTGTGATGATTGCTCGACCATCTGACGCGCTGACCCTGGTGTTGGGAATAGTGTTCACCTGCGCGCTCCCCGAGTGGCCAATTATTCCGCTTGGGCGAAGTCTCAGCACCGAGTATGGAATGGGAAGATCATTGCACTTGTTAATAGACTGGGGACCAGTCTAATTTTCCATTATTTTCTCTGGCTGACTCAGAATCCACAGTCCCAGTTTACGAATTAGCATAAAGACAATAATTACTGGTCAACCCCACTACATATTCCTCCTATGCGTCATCCTCAAAGCTGGGCTTTTTTTCATATACTCCTGTCAGAGTACGGACTATGGATGAGGGTTAGCTACACAGTGTACTTTCCTACTTTCTCAACAGACTTCAGCAAGATTTTTGACGTTTTAATTCTCGCCTATTGGAAACAGCACAGCAAAGACGCCCTCATCTGTTGTTTCTCGGTGACATTAGAGCTGATAATAAGTGCATATAAACCAGTCCCGTTCGAGATTTCATATATTTTTGAAGTTTATCGGAAGACGACCATGTATGAATGGAGGTAAAAATTTCGTCTCATGAACTGAATCGTGTGGTTAATACACTTATACTGGCTTTACGGGACGATCAGTCTGAGAAGACCAGCCTCCATAACATCTCAGCAGCCGAGATATAACCGATGGCCAGCTGAAGATCAAATTTCGTTATGATACGAGTAACAGAGGTTATTTTTGGTGCTGAGCAAAAGAAGAATTTTTAAGTCAACTGAGAAAGTTAAACCACTGGTTCATATTATTCGCGAAGAATTACTAGTCAGAAGGGCACTTTGAACGAATATTGCAGCTCCGAATTGGATTAGATATCGGATAACTTAAGCAGGCGTGTTCAACCGAACACCCGTTTTACACAGTTTTGCTTAGATTCAGAGGTGCACTTCACTCACATCTGTTCTTGTTATCTTAGCTTGTAACTGCATCAAGGTAAAACTCACTGCTTTTGTTCAGATGTTCCCCTTATCCAAATGTCTCCCATCCTCTCTTCTGGATTGTGGAGGCGGGTTACCCGACAGTCTAGCTGTTGGCTATCAGGCGCGTCCACGGGTGGCGGACGGGGGGGGGGACAGCAAGGTTAACTACAAAATAAGCATTCTCTTGGACCTGGCGAGTAAGCAGTCGCGGACCGGCAACCACAACGCTACCAAGTCGCGTAGGGCTGAGGTCCGGAACGCCGACTGCCTTATGAAATGCCAAAGACCCCGATGACAGCACTGTGACATGGCGATCGTGAATGGCTGCTGGAAAAGTTTGCTTGCCACCGTTGCCTTGTGGGTTGGTGCTTGTGCCAAAGAGCTAGAGGATACAACCCGGTCGGATGTGGTTTGGTAGCCCCACCTGATTTAAACAAATCCCAGTCACTTCTAATGCAGGGGCTTTTTACAGGTAGGGCCGGGGAACGCACAGGCGATGATGTCAAGTAGTTGTATGCAAGAGAAAAGCTATTGGGAATGCGCGGTTGTACTTTTAATGGTTGAGAAATAATTGCGCTAACCCCTAACTCTAACCTTAACCCCTAACCATAGCCCCTAACCCTTAACCCCAACCTCAACAATATTGTGTTCATCAGGTGGGGCTACCAAACCACATCTTACCTACAACCCCAAGCTAGCAGCCCGAGCGGGTATTGGGGACCCGCCTGTATTCAACATTCCCAAGAAACCTCAGGAATATGTCCGAATACTGCTATGCAATGCTGCTTGCAGGATTTTCTCAATCCTTAGAAAGTGCCTATGAATCTGACGCAACATCTCTATCGTCACGAAGCTTCGCGTGTACCGTGCTTCTGTCCGGTCAGTCCCCCTCTACGGTTGTGGATGTTGGGCTTTGCGCACGGAAGATGAGCGAAGACCACCGCCGCCGCCGCCGCCTCCTGACGACTGTCCTTTGAGTGGAGATCGCCGACTTCGTCTCAAATGACGCGTTCCGAACTGACTGCGACAATATCACGAGGGTTCTTAAGCCATCCAGGAAGGACGACTGAGGTGATTGCACACGTCCTCCGACGTCCACCTCAGGAACTTAGTTATACTGCTCTCGATCAGGAGCCGTTGTCCACCTGCAGACGTCAAAGAGGTGGTCAGCACGAGACCGGGCAAGACACGTCCTGTCAAGACATGAAATTGGTTTTCGGATCTCTAGTATTCGGTCTTTGTAGCTGGAAAATAAAATGGGTGAAGATGCTGCAAATCGTCCGCGTGGAGAGGTGAAATTCGTGAAATCATTGAGGTCGGCTTGATCACGCATGATCGCAGTAACATCCAGTACAAGGACTGGCCCATGTATAAGATCTTACACCGACTGTTAATATAAAGAAGTTGATTTTCTGATTCGAATTACACTTGAGTTCATATTGAAAGATTCACACGGCACTCGCCCTAATAATGACCCTCTCCCCACATCAGTGCACTTTCTCATGCGTTTTGACAGAATGAAGCAAAGTCATAGGCGGCCCATTGGGGGTTTTGAACATACTCATTAAGTCTAGATTTCAAGTATAGCATAAGATTGATTTTCAGTGAAGCTACTTACGTGCTTTTTGCGCATTTTATACTATTACCCTTGTTTCGTTGAATTTTTGTTGAAGTTTCTGCGAGTTAAGTCGCCGTCAGAGACGACCATTCAACTACCCACCTTGGTCACCCATAGGACCTTGTGTATTCCGTGTAATTTTTCAGTGCTTCTAAACTAGACCTACTGTCTCTTTTCAAGTTTGCATTTCATCTGGCGGAGGGCGAAATAATTAGCGACCCTTCTTAGCGGTCGTCAGTCAGTCATCCGGGACCTGGGATCAGAATCCCACTCGGCCTTGCTTATACCGACTGATCCAACATTTCACGCTTACGAAACTGCAAGTAGATCACCTCTTTTCTAGGGCCTATGGGCCGCATATCCTACACCCAGCAGGCGAATTTATCACGGAACATAGGGAACAACTTAAATCAATTCAGACATCAGGTCTGTCCAGCGCACGATTGGGAATGAGGTCATAAATAGTCATACCAGTCAGCCTTGGTCTAGATCGCAGTTGGTAGCCAGGAACGGGGAAAGCGGACGGCGACCTTAACCCTAATCCTAACCTTAACCCTAACACTAACCTTAAACTTAAACTTTAACCGTTAACCCTAACGGCAACCTTAACCCTAGGCCTAATCCTAACCGAAATCGTAAACGTAACCGTAGCCCTTAGACATAGCCCCAACTGTAAAACCTGACCGTAATACTGAAGCCTAATCGTAAACTCCAACCCTAACCGTAACCAGAAAACCTAAGCCTAAAGGACATGCTCCTAACCCGAAAATCGGAAACTATTAACCGGTATCCTAATCCTAACCTCAAACGTAAAACGAAGCCAAATGGGTCAGATGCGATTATCTAGCCCCACAAAATGCCCCAGTAAACAAACCCCAGCCATCTGTCATACGGGGTCTGGCTACCAACTGAGATCTAGTCCAGCCTTGTTTTTATAAGTAACGATTCACCATGACAAACTGCCATCGCGTGACCACCTGGGAATGCTCTAGGACAGAGCCCCAAAGTAGAGCGTCGGACTACTTAAACCTCAAAGAAAACAGAACCCGTGCTCGAATCCCAGATGCCGAAGACCTGGAGTTGACTGTGGCTGTCTGACGACGGCTAACGAGGCGGAAAGGGCCACCCCAGTCTGCCTTTTCTAAGTCCGTATTTCTTTGCTGCATACGCCACTAGTCACCACGCGACTGCCTTCGATGGCTCAACATTGAGCCCACCGGGGTGCAGTGAAAGCAGCGTGTCCCGTAACCCGCTCGCCAAACATCCTAATAGTTCCAGTCGCAACCGACAGGACAACAGGCCCGCAACCCAGTGGTACAACACTGAACTACCTAATGCTCAATAACCAAAGAATTCAAGTGCGAATCCCAGGTCTCGCAAACCTGGGGTTGAGTATGGCTGGCTAACGACGAGTAATAAGCCATAATTGGCTATCCCAGTCTCCCTACTCTTTGTCGGTGCTGTTTCCTGCACATAATCCTGGCGGCTATTCGACCGCCCGTAAGGTGCCAAGGAACCCTAAGGCGCAACCGGACGGACAAGTCTCATAACCTGATCAGTGAGCGCGCTTCCTAAGATTATACATATATGCTATTTATAACAGATATTACTAGTGTCTACTTCATCAGTTAGTCTCAGTTGCCTTAGAGGCACGATACCTCCCCAGAGTCTCCAACTACAGGCCATGAGTACTACTTCAGGGAACCAGTTCCGAGTGCTAACAGCCGGTTGTGCAAAAATGGGCTGTCGAACATGCGCTGTTTGAACAGTTTTTCGGAGTGCCTATGAAAACTAGGAATCAGTGAATTTCAATTCTGATAAAACAATTATCCAGGCATATTCACCGTTTCCCATAAAAAGCTCGGTCCTGACGATATCATGACAAATGGCAAGTTGCTTTAGCGGAAGTCAACGAGTGCAGACCGCGCTCCAAAACCGCAGAGAGACCCGATTGACTTTATAGATTCAAATGCATTTCATAGAAATGATGTAAAGAAATATTCTTTATTGTGTTCAAATGACAGAAAATCACGTCTTCTTTCCATTTTACATTCGAAAAAATGTTTTCGCCCGGTTTTAAAATGTCAACAATTGCGAGTGATTTAAGGCCGTGAAATTTTCATTTCATACATCTTTTCTGTACGTCTATAGCGATTGCAAAATTTTATGAGCTCTATATGATATCTTCGGAATAGCACTGGGAAATATATGATATTACTTACAGGTATACAGTTTGTGGATTGCAAAATTCAGACGCAAATTCAACAACGGGCAGAGCTCAGATTTATTGGGGAATTGAAGCACTCTTTTAAAGTCTAAATTTATCGTTTTTCGTGCATAAAATTTGAAGTGTGATTTTCTACCGAAGGAGCGCAAAAAAAGAATACTTTTGTGGATCTTTGTAAGATATTTTTGAATATATAAGGACGATGAAAATCAATAGAGAAAATGTATACTAGTTGAGTAGTCATTTTTATGGAGTGCGGTTCCTGTAGGCGATCAAAAAGATGTGCAAACCATAGCCGACATGCCGGCCTGTCTGGCATATTATTGGATCATGCAGCGCAATGGTCATTTTTACAATCATATTTAAGTTGTCTTCTCTGACCGAAACCACATTTCAGAACTTCTGCCGGCTTTTTGTGAAATCGGCAGCTGACAGCACAAGCAATATACAGATACACTGGAAAGATGTTTCTTCGATATCCGTGAAGGCAGAACAAAATAACTCCTGTATAAGGCTAACAATGGGTGCGTAATGCGGCTAGCAGAAATCAGGCTTCTATTCTGCACGGCATCTGTACAAACTTGAGCATCCGTATATTCGCTCGGAACTTAAACCTTCTATAGAAGTCAATTTGACGATCATAAGTCTGCTTTCAGTAAATTCTATTGCGGCCTGTACGTTTATGTGGCTACTGAAATAATGAATCAAAAGATACGAGCACTATTTCATTATTTTAATGGCCATATAGATGCACAGGCCTGAAGAGAATCTATCAAAAGCAGACGTATGCTCGCCAAATTGTCTTTTGAATTTTTCAATGGTAATTTTCACAACCCTTCTATGGAACTTTGTTTACAGTGTTCAAAAAATATCCCGTTTGACGCTAAGTCACTCATGACCTCTAAACGGTTGACTGAATTTTCCCAAAATAACAGGGAATGAATGACCCGCGAAGGGACGGAAATTACTGTGACCAACAGAACACAATTACATGCATGATTAAGTGGAAGGCTGGTTGAATGAGCGTAACACCGTTCAAAATTTAGAAGGCTCACTGCAAGAGCATGTTTTGGGGACCTCAGTAGATACCTGGAAGCACGAAGCACTCGCATAAACTTACATAAGCACATGCAATGAAACATTCCGGTGATTCATCAGCATAAGCAGCAAGGGGCTGCGTCAAGTCGTTTCCATCGCAGTATGCGCAGCGTATTAGCCAACGATACGCGCAAACAGGCGGCCTCGTACACCTGTGCTGCCTTGTTGCTGGACAGCGACGCAGTGCACATTAATGGACCGGCTGGTATGGCTCCGACGCAACAGAATGCAGTAAAATGAACTGCGTTCTGACGGGCAGTGGCTAAAAGCGGCCTCTGGGAGCAACGCACTTATCGCTGCTCTCCACTTGACAGGTACATGCCACGGGGACATTTTCAGACACCCATCTCTCTACATCGGGGTCTACAAAAGGACTGCAATTACACTTCACTGCCCATTCCGAGCTTCGTTTGCATCTACTGTTTGTGAAAACAAAAATTTCTTGTCCCTAGAGACGTTTTGTTCTTGACTTGGAGCATTTTTTATCTAAAGGCGAATACTTCTAAGATTGTCTGTATGCTCAAAAGCCCTTAGTTGCAAAGAAACTGACGACTTTTGCAAAAACGACAACAAAAAGTTGAACCCTAGTCCTCTTTTCAAGTCTGCTGGCACTTTTTCAGGCAAGACACGGAATACAGGCGGTCTTGCGATAATTCCAGGAAAGGTACCTATCCCCGTGTCTTTACCACATCCTTAACCATAATCTGTTTGGCATCTAACGCAAGGCCACCTGTATTCGGTGGGAGGGGGGGGGGGAGTGGGAGTTCTATTACCGTGTCCTACCTTTTCCCGTTAGATTGGTTAAAAGTTGTCCATCAGATCAGCAAGTATAGGCAAGTCTCAGTAAATACCCGACGGACTCATTTTTGAAGTATTCTTCTTCTTGTCCAGGCGATGAGTCTGAAGGTCGAAACGAACATCCGGACAAAGAGATGGACAATTCGGCGTCGCAGGTTACAGGGGCGGCCGCGGTGTTCACAGTGCCGGAAGCGCTGGAAAGTGCTGAGACAATGGATTCTGTGACTGGAGATGGATACTCGAGCGCTTGTACTGCCTCTGACGTGCACAAATTTCAGAGGCTACAAGCACCTGCCGATTTCAGCGTTGACGCCGAAAACCCTCAACCCTGCAGTCGTGGCGCAGCTAGCAGTACCTTTAAGCACCGACGAGCACGAACCGCCTTCACCTACGGACAGCTAATGGCGCTGGAAAACAAGTTCAAAACAACCCGCTACCTGTCCGTGTGCGAACGAATGAATATGGCGATTTCACTGAATCTGACAGAAACTCAGGTACTTTGGCCTGCCGTGGAGGCAGCTTGTATTTTACCAATGACACAATTTACTGACGATTTTTTTGCAGCAGCTAGCTATTTACCTTCATCAGGGTGGAAGGACAAATACAACATAACTACCTACCTGCAGTCAGAAGGAACTTCATGCCTTATAGACTATATTGGAGCAAAAATTTGTCGGACAGTTAACTAAGCGTTTATTATCAAACTGAACGCAATTAGAGGAGAATATCTTCATGGTCGCATCCAAAAGAGCATTTGAGTAAGCCCTAAAGGATATGATGACCTAGGCAGTAACCTTTTTGCGCCATAATTTGCTGCTTCAAATGTGAGGAAAACCGGTTCCGGTAATTGATAAATTATTGTGTATTTCAGGTAAAAATTTGGTTTCAGAACAGACGGACAAAGTGGAAAAAAGAAAATCCCTCCGAAAGCCATCATCTCTGCTCTTCAGGTAGACAGACAGATTCAATCAGGACAATCAACCACCAGCCTAACCCATGTGGCAGTATTTGTAAACTCGTAGAAAACGACTCCGTCGATAGTACGACTGAGAGCAGTGATGGTTCGTCGCAGACATGCAACGAAAACAGCAGGCCGGTTGAACTCTCGACACCCGGCGCTAACTTTCTGACCTCCCCTGGAGCTAATCTCTGGCTCGCCTATCTGTACGGCCAGTTGCAGTCGACGCAACCAGACGCAGACCTCTCCACGAACGTTTCATTCTTCGGCAGCCATCTTAACCGTTTGGCAAGTATGGATGCGCAAACAGGCCAGCACGGCGTGAACAATGTCTGCTAGAGCAGACGAAATATCCACCCGGTTGGCACGAGGTCCCCTAGACTGAAAATGACGGTTTCTACCACAGAGGCCGAAGAATGTCACTCAGAAAACAAATCTCGTGAGATCAAAGACGAAGATGACCATAATCATGTAAATAGGAAATTTGAATAATATATACCTTACTAAATTTTTTTTTCAAATAACGTGATGAGGAAGAGGAGCTGACTGCTCAGAGACAGGAATGCCCAAATAAAGACGGAGAATCCCAATAGGAAATAGAAATACTCCTTTTTTCGTTTTTTGAGGTAATATGTTAATTGGGATCCGTTGGTTTATTTCCGGTTTCCAACAGGGCCATATTTGGACGCAGTTCTCTCGATAGTAGGATATTTTTATGAGCCAAGCAGCATGATTGACGTAAGCAAGACATTTGGGCACGCAAAGCACACCTAATTACGGCATAAGGGCTACTAATCGGATGAAGGCCTAGTGGGATTTTGGTGGAGGATTGTGCCGATGCTTCAAGGGGCAAGCAAATGCTTGCACGATGCGGTTTGCTTAATAATACAACCTACTGATTCGGTTTAAGTAGCACAGCAAAACAACTAAGTCGGTCACATCGAGATCACGGGATGACCGGCGTCCCGTATCTTCACACTTGAAAGTAGTAAAGGGACGTCCCGTCTCGTATTCTAACAACTGGGACTAAGCGAACGCCAATGAATTTCCTGGACAACAGTGTTCCTTTATTTAAGCAGGGAAGGATTGGAAAACTGCTGGTATCGTGGCATACCAACTGTCAAAGGTGTATGGGACAGTAGGTTAGTCAAACTGATGAAGATAGTCCAACATTGCACCTGACGGACAGGAACAAGGAGAATGGGCTGCACTCCTCAGACGGGCCCTTGACTGCTACTAAGAACTTATTCACAGATGGTCCAGCAGGTGTCGTAACCACAAGAAGCCAGTTAAAAATGGGTTCTGTAAGAATTAGCACGATAAGATAGGAGTCAAGTTATTCGTCTTTGGCATAACCGGTCAACAGCATGTGCCGAAAGTTGCTCAAAAGAAAGAGTGCGAGCCGCCCACCGTGATCCGCAAATGGAGAATGAGATTAAAACAGGAGGTGCAAAATGTGGCATTATATATTCATGATCTACATCTTATCAAGAACGGTCAGTAGGAGAAGGGGCATCGTTTTCTCCAAGAAAGGGGGAGGGGGGAGTGCCCCGTGTCGTCAGAGTTAATGCCGCGCATACAGCGCTCCCAGATCAGAGAGGCGTGCGTTAAGGCGGGAAAAAACCAAAAAACGGAAACCATCAAAATTTACGAGTCAGAAGGCAAAGATATGCATATGCGCACACAGTTCAACGGACAGACGTAAATTAGTTGAGTCGACAAGCGCGCAGAAGCCCATGTACGCGCGGAATGAAAATCAGATGGCAACTAAAATGTACGCAGCGAGAGAGAGGTGGTGGCAGGGGAGAGGGAGGAGCGGTAGGAGAAGAGGTGGAGCGATCTGCAAAGTAGACTGCCTCCCCAAACAAACCCACCAAAAACGCGCATACGCAAAAATGCCCCACTAGGCGAGGGCAGGGAGAGGCGATGGAACAACTAAGATGGGGCACAATACAGGAGCGGGCTCGTACACACGGCAAACTTCATTTGATTCAGCAGTACATGTACTATCATATACATGTGCCTTCAAGCATGTGAACGTGAAGTGGGCCTACCGTCTCGAAGGAGGCGGTAGGACGGTGAGACGAAGGGGAGAACGAATCCATTGCAAGACCACTGTTTCGGTCGTAGATCCACGTATGGAATGGAAGAACCGGATCCACAAAAGCATAAAAAGGCGTGCACTCCAAGTATTTTCGTTTTGAGGGCCTGGATAGGGCCGAGTCGTGGGTGTCCCAGTGGCGAGTGGGGACAGAGGGTGAGGGCGAGTGAACACACAGCCGGAATGACAACACGAGAAGCAAGTGTACACGTGAGGGCAACTGGAAGGACAGCGGTGCGAGATGAAAGTAAAGGAGCGACAATGGCGAGAGTAGCAGATGATGCTCAAGTGCCCGCAGGCTTTCGAGAGGGAGAGGAGCCCGCATAGTCAGACTGCAGTGGTCGTGAGTTCACTGGCAACCAGACGGACGGTCCTCGATGTTGGGTGAGAACCCTGTGAACGGCGTTCACAACATTTGGGAGCGTATCCAGATTGAGTATAGCTGAAAGGAGAGGGAGATGGCAGAAAATGAAGACGACAAAAACAGCCTTGTGCATGGCTCATAAAGGTGTACTGCTTGGGGGTTGCATGGGAGAACGAGGGATTTGTGTGTATCCACCTGGCCTGGCTGTAGGACGAAACACGGACGTTCCGTTTGCCGCGCCTTCACGTGACCTTAAACAGTCTCCATTGTGGTCGGCTGAGCCTGAGCCTGATACCCAAAGCTCAGAAATTCCTGACCTGAGCCTCAGGGTTTGGTCAGCTGAAGACGACAAATGAGCCACAAGTGACAATTTTAATTTCGGCCAAATTCTAAGAGCCCATAATATTACTTGCTGAGCAACTGACTCGAACTCATTACCGCCGGTTTTTTCACGCCCAATCGCTGTGGGCTATGAATCGACGAATAGGAGAGAGGCCAGCGCCGTATTTCGCACCTCTCCGTATTTTGGATCCATCCATCTACGACAGGACAGAGGATGGGGAACAGAAAGGTAAGGGGTTCATGGGGAGACAAAAGAAACGTG